TCTCGCCCCCCCCCCCCCCCCCCCCGGGTCCGCTATCGCAGTACCAAACAAAATTTCAATCCCAAAGATACAAGGTTTTTGTTTGAGCTTGGGCTCTCAGACAGTCCAGTCCACCCCTTTGACCCCAGCCCTGAAATCTCGATACCCCATGTCACCTCTCCCCTGTGAGAGAGCGCGTGTGTGTGTGTTCGTGTGTGTTCTCCACACTCGCCAACACTGGAGCACGTTCTGAGCTCGCCCACACACACACACACACACACACACACACACACACACACACACACACACACACACACACACACACACACACACACACACACTTTTCTTTTCAAAGTTATAGGGGCTGTTGAGAATGGAGGGGGACGAGGACTTGTGGCAGTGGTGTGGGACGACGGGCAGGAGGGAGGGCAGGAGGACGGGCAAGAACGTGGGGAAGAATATGGGCAGGAGGGTGGGGTGGAGCAGGCGCATGGATGGAGGCGTCGGCGACTCGATTTGTGGGAGCCTGCGGTGACGCCTGAACACGAGGAACAGCCGGTGGCCTTGCGGCAGCTCAAGCACTACGATTTTGCTGGTGCGGGGTTTGCTTCTCCCTCCCGCTGCATTCAAGCCCGGTGGACTTGGTCCATATTGCAGCTAGCTGCCCGGCGCGTTCTGAGGCTGAGGAGTTTCCCTTGGTGCTGCTCTTCAGGCTGGTGGTGCGTGTCCTGGCACTCACCTCTTACGCGCATGGTGGTAGATTGCATCGAGGAGCTGTCGACCGTGACGACCCTTCGTGGCGAGGAGCAGATTGTCGTGCGAACGGCGGGCGAGGTGGGAATCAAAGGCGTTTAGCTCACTGGCAGCGAGCAGCCGCTTTGTCCCTGCTGGCCTCAAACATGTCCAGGCATGCCTGCCTCACTTGGCACCACGGGCCCTTGCCTTGATAGCTGCTGTTTACCTGCTCACCCACCAACGGTCCCGAGCCGCTTGCGGTTGGTTCAGCCGCCACCCCGTCGTCCCCAGCAGCTGCTGTGCCCATGCACCACGCACAGTCTTATCCTTGTCGTGTGTCTCAGGTCCCCCCTGGTCCTGGAACCCTGGTGTTGGGCTACGGCCCCACTACCGTGCGCTGGCATGGGCGGCGAATTGAGGTTCGGCCACTCTTGCCTTTTGGCAAGGATCCAAACAAGCCCATGCCCTGCGTCTGCACTTATTTGTTCATTGTGCATCTGCTACCGGACTGCTAGATCTCAAACAAAATCGTGAGCAGCTATGCACATGAATTCGATACAGGTGGGCAATTACTGCTGCTGCTGTATGTCACGGTCTTTGCAAGACCGGGACGCTCTGCTCATGCTCCCCACCGCTTTTAGATATTGAAGCCGTCCTAACCATCGGCCCGCGCCGGCTCCTTGATCCCTTGTTTGCTGTCCCTCATTCGCCGCGGCCCCGAGGTTGGGACGCTTTTCCGGGCTTGAAAATTTCGATCATGCGCCATGCCAGTGTATCTTCATCAAGTCCCACCCCGTTCGCCTGAACCTTGGTCTAGATGTGATTGTCCTTCTGGCCTTGCGCCGACCCTACGGCTACCCGCGCCGTCAGTTACGCGCTCTCTGCATTGGTAAGCTGGACTCTTGTCTGCCAAAAAATCCAATTCCCGCAGCCTGCCGCGACCACGCCCGACTAGCTTCCCATGACATGTCCGGGCGCTCTCCAAACACACGTCCAACGTAACCTCACCGACTGAACTCAACTGCTGGGACAACTTGATATAGAAGCTTCTGGTGGCTGCCACGTTCTGACGCCTGGTGGGTGCACGTGTGCCCTACCGCTGCGTCTCACGACACCGAAACCTGCTCTGATTAAAACCACCCCACTGCTGATTTGACGCCCAATCTATAGAGCTACGCTACGCTGAACGCTGGGCACCGCTGCTGGACACTGCTCACAAGCTGCGCATGTGCCACAATGACCCGGCACATCGCGTCGATCTGTACTTCATCACGGCAACAGAGGTCAGTCTTGCATCGTCTCTCCCGTGTCCTCGTCTTGTGTGCCCCCGCCAGCTGTCACTACCCTGCATTTTTCCACGGCGTCCAGGTGACGAGGGATACACTGTGTGCCTCTCAAAAGGATAACCCACCCTCTTGGACCTGTTCTTTGCACGAGCCACCCGTTGCACTTGAGCTTGATCCGCACGTCGAATTTCTGGTCGCTAGCTCCGGTGCAGCCCTCCTCAGGAACACTTCGCCCACATGGCAAAACTGGCCAGCTACCACGCCCACTCCCACCAGCTCTGCCAAGCCACCTGGCGTGGCTGGGTTAACATTACTCGGTCACCCCGCCTTACGGCACCTGATGTGGCTCTGCCATCCACCGGCCAGCGCGCTGGCTGGGTCTGAAGCACGTCTGGTCTTGGCTCCGTTGCAACAAAGTCAATCCCAACTTCACCCAACGCTGGTTTCGGCTCTGGGCCGGCACCGCCTCGGGCGCGCCGTCGCTCACGCTCGCAATCAGGAATGTGCGGTCATCCTGCAGCGCACGTTGGTTGCATATGCACACCACTTAAATGGAGAGCCTGTCGGATCAGCACTGCCTGTAGATCTACAAGTCCCAATGCCCCGTCGATTTCAACCAGGGGCCAAGCTGCTCGGATCCGCCCGTGCCCGGCGACTGCCAAACGGTGATACGCTCGTCCAGGCCGTACTCGAGATGACGAACGAATGGCGGCCCACAGATGAGGTTGTGCTTTGCCTCAGTGTGCTTCCTCTTCCCGACCCAACCCTCGTCGTGCATTGCGTGCCAGTTCGGCCTGTTTCTCGCAGCGTAGAGGTGCACGCCATCCTCAGTGACCCAGGTCTCTGTTTGTTGGGCCAGAGCACTCTGTCGCTGGTCGCATGCGCCCTCTCCAATGACCAAACCTGGCTCTGGCCGCTGGGTCGTGTAGCCTTCTCCGTGGGCGAGCCGTGGGCCACAGTGCCGTGGCGCGCACTTCGCACCCTCGCGCACGAGTCCTTGGCTGTATCCGTGGCTTCAGCGGTCACGGTCCGGGCCTTGTTGCGCTCCCTCGCTCTTTTGGGTTGTCACAGCACGGTCACAGCCCCAGATGACCGATATGGCTATGATGTCCATTTGCTCTGTGCGAACCAAAGCACCCCGCTTGCTGGTAGGCTTTTTGTGTGCTTCTTTGATCCCCCCACCACATCTTTTGACTTGGCTGCCCTTTTCTGCTCTTCCGTTGTCCGAGCTGCATGCCGCATGTCGCGGCTCACAACCCCATCTCATCTTCACTCCACTCTGTGTACGCCCGTCTCCCACCAGGACTGTGGATGACACTGAGATCATTCTGCCCGCCAGGTCACGACCGGCATGTGGTGGCTTTGGACTTGTTTGGTCGGCCGGCGGCGGAGCAACTGCTGACCTTGTGGCGCGCTCGGCTGGGTGACGACCAAGTTCAAATCTTGGACCGCGTGTGGACACCAGATCTGTTGCAGGTCCAATCCTTATTGGAGCGTTTGACTCAGCCCGATGATGTGCTGGCCGTTGTTGGACTAACCCTCGCGACCACACCTCCGCCCGTGGACCTTGATGAGTATCCCCAAACCCAGGTGCCGCAAGGCACGAGTGATTGGAATCTTTTTGCCCCTTGATCGAGAACATGATCTTGACAGATTACTCACTGTACCCATCTCGCCATGCCCCGAGGCAGGTGAGTCTGGCTTGCTGAGGCCAAAATTGATCCCTGAAGAACTGGTCGCGAGCCCTGCAATCTCCCAGCTCTGGCCCTGCCTATTTGTCGGGATGAGAGCATTCGCAAGCGGTTGATTGTCATTCGGTGTACTGGTTTTTGATTAAAAGGAGTTTCAACAGACACGTAAAAGCTGCAAAGCAGCCGAGGGAACAAACAGATGCCAGAGCTGGACGGCCGTCTAGCGGCGATCATCACGACGGGGAGAGCGGGAGCGGGGTCGATGATCGCGGGATCCGCGATAGTCGCGATCATTGGAACGACGGTCCCGTGAGCCGCCATAATAGTCGCGATCGTCTGAGCGGCGATAATCACTGCCTCGGTCTCGCGAGCCGCCGTAATAGTCACGATCATCTGACCTGCGGTAATCGCTGCCCCTATCCCGCGAGCCGCCGTAGTAATCGCGGTCATCGCGGTCGCGCGACGAGCGGCGGTATCTGTCATCGCGATCCCGTGACGAACGATGATACCCATCATCGCGATCCCGTGACGAGCGACGGTACCCATCATCGCGATCCCGTGACGAGCGACGGTAACCATCATCGCAATCTCGTGACGAGCGACGATACCCATCATCGCGGTAAGGACGATCCAGGTTGCGATCATCTGGTGCGGCATCGCGGTCGCGACCACTGCGCACCGGAGGCGGGGAAGGCGAGCGAATTGGCAGGGGTACGTTGGCCTCGGCTCTACATGAACGTGCACACCATACGTCAGACAGCAATCCCTAAACGAGGCCCTAACACACCATTACACACCCTACCGAGGATCACGGGCGCGAACGGGTTGCGCGTCTTCGTCCTCTTCCTCCTTGTAGCCCTCCTCGAAACTTTGAGGGCTGTAAGGGTTGTCCTTGAGCCAATCGCGAATCTCACGCTCTTTCATCACCGGAATGCGAGGCAAACGTGCTTGCGGATCGCAATATTGCAAGTCCTGTACAAAGAACACCTTGCATCAGTACGAGCAATGCTGGCAAGATTCTTAAAGATCACATGCGATACGCACCGTCAGCAAACTTCGCAACCACAGTCCAATGGGCTCCTCAGGAGCCATTTTGGCTGCATGGAAAAACAAAGGCAAAAGGGTGAGCATGCTAAAGTCACTGACTTGCGGAAAAAAAAAAAATGAAAAGGCAGGAAAACAAAAAGTATATTGGAAAGATCCCCACATGCAACACTCTGTAACGAGCAAGACCTTGGTGGCAAGTTTAAATCGCCGAAGGTCATTGACACGTTTGATATCAAAGTCAGGCAATTATGATGGTGGCGGCGGCGAGCCATACTAGGTGGGCAAGACAAATCGCTTCTAGAACCGTTCTGCAAACATCAAGTGGACATTCCCAAGGTCTTGGATTGGTCTCATGTGCTATGCATTCCGACAAAACAAGAGGCTCTTCACTGTGCTGTGTCGTTGTCGCGGCACAAACCCATTGTTTCGTAGGGAGGCATGCCACGATGGGTGGTTGTGGTATGTGGTACGATCGAGCGGATGTGTCGTACCGTATTTGACCTTGAGAGGCGTGGGATCATCAAGGAAATCGGAAAACCAGGTCCAAATGGTGTCGGCATCGGCCGTGTAGCGCAGATATAAAAAGCCAATCGCCCTGATGTAGGGTGAATCTTTGTGCGTCACAATTTTGTCCAAGTCGCGTTCCTTGGGACGAAAGCAGAAGAGCTACAATCGCACGATGATGGGCAGATGATGATGAGCAGCAGACAAGGGGTTGTCAAGGGCGGGGGTTGCTGAAGGGAGAGGTTCAAATGAGCTAGAATGAGTCTTCTGTGCTGCACTGAGGAAATGAGACCAACCGTGTACAACAGGCAAAACGCGGTGCTAGGCGCGTTGGACGGCTTGCGCACAAAGGGTTCTATCGATGTGAGGAGCGCATACCAGAAAATGAGTGCCAATGGACTCTCATCAGAAGAATGAACAACAGGGTTGCAGAATGCGCGCAGGTTGGCTGGGGCGATCAAGAAGGCAGGCCAACCGAAGGACAACCGGGTCCGGATTGTACCAGGGCTTGAGGCAAGACGCACCAAGATGGTTGACTTGCTCGTAAATCTCATCAATGATGTGATCGATGCTCTCCAGCTCCCTGCGCAACGCGATACAGGTGGATATCGACACACACAAACCAGCCAAACTCAAACAAGCGTGAGGTCGGGCCAACGAGTCAGTGGAGCTAACCAGGCGGCATGATTTACTTTTGGGCCAGGGTGGCAGGCATGAATGGGCGCGACCAGCTCAGGGGCATCAAAGAGCCCTGGAAAGAGAGGACAAGGTCGCAAGCGAAGCAACGCAAAACTTACGCGCAGCGCTCGCGAAAGTAAGAGCTATCGCGAATGTTGCTGTAGAGCACATGGCCCAGGTTCATGGTCTTGGAGTCGCAGACATATGGAAAAGTGCCGGGAGGATCCTGCAATAAAAAACAAAAAAAAAAAAACGCAGCCAATGCAGTATCAAAGGAAAAACGTGAGGCCAAACCCAATGGCCCACTCCTACGCGCACCTGCGTCCCTGGCCAAAACGTCGACCATCGATTGATTCGAGACTGGCAAAGCTCCTGACTGGCCATGTCAGCGAACCATGCCTAGCTTTCCAACATGCATTTCCAACACATGCCCAACTTGCATATTGATTGCACAGTCCACCACGCACCTTCTTGGGAGGCTCTGGAACAAAGATACCAGCAGCAGCACGCTGCCGTTCCCGCTCCACGGCGCGCACGGCCTGGTGTTCCAGTGCACGTCGCGACATTTTTTTTTTTTTCGTCAAAAAAGAAAAATGAAAGCAGGGAGCTTCCAGAAGGAACATATGTTCTAAACTATTGTTGTATGGCTCTTTTGCAAAGATCATATCAGTTGGAAACAATCAATTGATGTGAAAATGATACAAACGATTTTGCGTACGATCCTGCTAAAACAGGAATTGGTTCCATAGCTACGATCGGGCGCGGAGGTCCGGGAGGGACAGTCGAGCTGTGGTGGATCCAGAGCTCTGCGGCTGCTTTCAGACATCATCGACCACAAACTGCAGTCCATAAGATGGCCCACCAAGCGAGGTATTTTCCCTGATGAGACGGCACCTCTGGATACCCACAATTGCATCGTGTTCAATCTGGGTGGCGACGTACCCCGACTCTACGGCGGTGGAGGTGGTGGTGGTGATGATAGTGGGGTCGCGTGTGGGTGGCTTGCTTGCGAATCACCGTAGTCAGTGCAAACGTGGCCACGCTCAGGCACAGCAGCACGCCGATCGCAATGCTCAGACCCTGCAAACGCCGACCTGCGCACTCACAAACACACAAGAAGCGCCGTGATTGAACCAGGCCAGCTCGATAGTCACGCTGGACAACAGAAAGCCCAGTGGTGGGTGCACGCACGGTCTTTGGCATTGAGGCTACTAGCCACCGATGCGTTGACTGTGCTAGTACTTGGTGTTGATGGAGTGAATTTGGCCTCAACATCTTCTGCTTGAGGAAACGCGTAGGTGGACGCGCCAGACCGGAACTGACAATGAGGTCTCATCGTGCAGCAATCAAGCACAAGAGCAGGGCTGAGCAATAGCGTACCAACACCCAAGCCAAGAGCCTCGTCGGGGTACATGACTGTAGCGTTGACCTCGTTCCAAACGGTAAGGTTGGGACGTGGTGCATCAACGACGTCAATCTATGTCATCAGATCAAGTTGAGACAAGCGAGTCAGCTCTCACCATAGGTCTACAGGCTGAAATAAAAAAAACGACAGCAAGTTGTGACAGACAGGCTTGCCTGTGAAGCATTTAGGCTGGAAACAGGAACACCCAACTCATCGGCCAACTGCTGCAACTGTTCATCTATTGGCGCCGTGAGCGTGAGGAGGCACAAGAACAACGGACCATCAAAGGGCAACAGCGCACTTGCGCCAAACCTGAGGGCGTATGATAGCTGGGTTGACTGGTGCTGCTGCTGTTACTGGATCTGACTCCAAGAGGTACGCAGAGCAACACCATTAAAAGTTGGGCCACTGTGGCACGCGAGTAGCCTAGCGTTCCTTTGTGTATGATGAACTTTGGCATCGTTTTGGCGTCCAGAGAAAGCCACTGTGCCCAACAACAACCAAAAAAAAAATGCGCGCCTGCACTTGGTGCCTGAAGTACCAGGCGGCGCCAAATTCAACAAGAGTGCCATTTAGCACTGTGGCTATCAGCTCAAAGCTCTCGTCGCCCTTTTGTTTCTGGTGCCGCACCTTTCCAGAGCTTGTTTCTTTGAGAATTTTTGTTTCAACACACACACACACACACACACACACACACACACACACACACACACACACACACACACACACACACACACACACACACACACACACACACACACACACACACACACACACACACACACACACACACACACACACACACACACACACACACACACACACACGATGTAAAACTTTCGTTCTAGGCTGTTGGAAAGTCTGAACCAACGCGACACAGTTTGTCCTGAAAGGTCGCTAGCCGTTCACGGAGGCTGCTGCCCGACAGGGCTCGGATCGCGGGCTGCTCCAATGTCGGTCGTCCGGATAGGCCAAATGGCGAGAAGCCTGTTCGCGAAACCTAGCCAGAGGGAAGCATCAAGTGTGAGCCCGCCCAAAGCCCAAAGCCATGTCAACAATTGATATTCTCCGAACCAAAGACTCTTCATAAAGCCAAATGGCCACCGTTGCATCCTCGTGGTCCGCTTCGTCTGCCAACCGTAGGCGTGCAACACAGCGGGCCAGTGTTCCCAGGACGCCCACGACTGTGGATGGCACGGCTTGCCTGGGGCCTTTGCGTAGCTAGTGTGTCAGACAGCCAACCGACACCACGTTGAAACAGGTGGACGAGCCATGCGACAACGTCGAGGTTGGCTCGCTCAAACTGAGCAAGAAGCCCGCCTCTTCCTTCTCACAGCAGCTCTGAATAATCGTAAATAGCAGGCGTGGGATGTTGGACTATACCGATCGAGAAGCAAGGAAATAAGCTTGAACTAGCCAGCTAGCGCTGGACGAGAGCTCCGGGTCACAATCGCGTGCTGCCCCCATCGCGAGCTGCAGCTGGTCCGCCGCTGCAGCTTGCTCCGCCGAGGCCCTTGCCGCATCCATCCGATCGTCTTCGCTACGTGCCGTTGCCGAAAATAATACGTCTTCCACATAGTCTGTGTGGATGCGTCCCAGGCGTCAATAAAGTGAAGCAACGTGCCATGACATGACCAAACATCACACAGTTACCGCTTGCGCTGGCTCCGTGGCCTTCATCCGGCCACCAATACTGTAGTTTGAAGGCCTCCAACAAGGGCCGAGTTGAACCCATCTGAATCCCGCAATGAACAAGATTCGATTCATGAGGAGAAACATCAATGTCTTGAAACCCGGAATTCCAATGGAGCAGCAGGCTCATACCGGGTCGCTGCCACGACACTGATTTGCATTTTGAATCAATCTCGGATCTTGCAGTTGAAAAAGGCCCCAGACAGCAGAGCCCACCGGAGCAGTGAGCTCTTCCACATCTTCCTCGGTTGCCACGGCCTTGACGGCGCCGGGGTTCAGCGTACGTTGCGCCACTGCACGCCGCTCTACAATGGCGCGCAAGACCAGGGCTTGCTGGGTGCCGCTCGTCCAAGCTTCATGAGACTTGGTCAACTCTGAGCACCACCCCAAGTCCAGCAAAACAAACCTGAGCCGAACGCAAGAGTTCCAAAGCAGGAAGCAGGATAATGCCGTCTTGCACTGCACACAAGCTTCCAGCTGCAAGAGAGCCGCACGTGGTTAGTATCTGTCGCTCGAGTAGCCAATCAGGATTGAATATCCAGAAGCGCACCACACAGCATGCGATGTCCACCCATGGCTTGAACTCGGCAGGTGAGGTCATTGCCATAAGAGATGCAGTGCTGTAACTTCAGTCCAACCAATAAAGCTTGCAGCAGACTAAGAAAGCGGCAGCCTTGCTTGAGTTCCGGTGATACGCTCACAGACGCAAACGCGGTGGGTGTTGATGTGATAGATGCTTGGATAAAGAGGTTGATAACTGTTGTAATAAATGCAACATGGCCAGGACCCGACGCCCCTTGGCACTGCCACGAACCGCCGTGGGCCATCGGACGCAGACGCAACGAGCAGATCCACGGGCACGCAGCTGTCTAAGCCGCAGCTGGTCGAGCTCAGTAGTGCTGCCATCTGAAACGGGGACAAGACGGACCGTGAAGGCTGTTGCTTGACTTATCAAGCACAGGCGTAGCATGCCGAGTCCCCCAATAACAGAAGTTGGCTGGCGGAGTGTTGCCAAAGGGTCGTACCGTAAGCACGGGATTGAGTTCAGTCTCGCTACCCAGAGCCACAGCACAAGCTTCGAGCAGTTGCTCAACTGCTTCAAATGCGTGCTCAAAGCCGGAATGAGCTGAAAGGGGGGTCTACGGGTTTCCAAATTATGTATCCTGGTGAGAAGAGCTCAACCTCGTTTGGTCGAAGGAAGTACCATTTTGGGCAAGCACAAAGCACAGCTCACGTCAGCGTTCAAGGCATGAATACGGAGCAGACGGGCTGGTCCAGAGTTTGCGCGCCACAGGGTCATGTCGACACGGTCGCCGAGGGTGAGGCCACCCACGGCTTTGCCGCTCGCGGCAAAGAGGCGGGGCGTCGTCAAAGAGTGGGCGTTTTGTAGAGCCAACATTTGAAGAGGCTGGAAATGGGCTTGGCTTTCATCCTGCATAGGTGCATCAAGGCGCAAATACAAGGTGCTCTGATCATGGAGTGACAGGCTGCACCATCGGTTCTTTGCGGGCCACGAGCGGCGGGCGAAGCAAACAAACCGCGGGAAGAAGGAGTCCGCAGCCTGGGCAGAGTCGATCAAGTGGACTGCAGAGTAGCAGATAGCTACGCGCTGCATCGCATCGGCGGCAATATAGATGCATGTGGGTTGGCGCAACCTCAACGCGGCCCATACCCACGATACGGCCGTGCACACGTTCAAACGGCCCAGCTACAGTGAGCAGACGGAGTCAAGGCAGCTGGCTCATCAATTTCCGGTACATGGAGCTGGCGCATGAGAAATTGGGAGCAGGGATTGGGTTGAGGGCAGTTGAGCGGGCTGTGTAACAGACCAGTTGAATGCTGGTGGACCAGCTCGGTACCGAGCGCCATGGGAATGGCCAATGCAGTCACGTCGTTCCAAGGGCAGTCCGGATGCTCCTTTCGACCTTGTTGGCGCACGACCGCCCTGTTTGAAAAAAAAAAATGATGATCGTATTCAAATCGATCAACTGGATGAGAAGACAAGGGGTGGTGTGTGGTAGCAGCTACTGCGACTGGCCATCGGGTTGATGCCACGCACGTGAGGGCTCGATTGAAAGCTGCATAGTCGTGAAGCAGCAGGTCTAGCCATGCAGGAGCCTGGTCCCGCAGGAGCATGAGGTCAACCTCCAGCTCAAGAGTGCCGCTGATCCAGCCGTCCCAGTTGTCGAGGCACCAGTCTGGACTCGTGCTTGCGTGTGCTATGAGTTGCCCCAGATCCAAACGGTCCCAATCAACGCAAGGCCTCGGACCATGCTCTGGCGAGACAGGACCACTGAGTAGCAGACTTGTCCCAAGAGCTGAAAAAAAAGGGGCTTCACCATCATGCCTCATCATCTTCCTCTGCCGCCCCCGCCCCGGCCGGCCCTCTGCCAACCCTCTCTCACCAGGCGCCTGCATTCCACTGGTGCGCTTGACTCGAAAGAAACAAGAGAAGTTAAAGACACCTCCAACCGAAAATGTCGACAATCAGCTGCTCGGTTTTGGCGGGAACTTTTCGCTGACATCTTGATGGTGTTCTCTCTGAATTTCTGGTTTGCTCCCTCTCTCTCTCTCCAATTTCATCTCTCACCCTCTAACTTTATCTCTCTGTCTCTCTCTCTCTCTCTCTCTCAAACTCTCTCTCTCTCAAACTCTCTCTCTCTCTCTCTCTCTCTCTCTCTCAAACTCTCTCAAACTCTCTCAAACTCTCTCTCTCTCTCTCTCTCTCAAACTCTCTCAAACTCTCTCAAACTCTCTCAAACTCTCTCAAACTCTCTCTCTCTCAAACTCTCTCTCTCTCTCTCTCTCTCTCTGTACATTTGACAGAGGGAAAAAGGCGGGGAGTGCATTTGACGCGTGCGCCGAGCCCCTTGCTGTTGGCTGTGCGATTGACGACGAGCCGTGACCGGCCACACGCGGGAACGTGTCGAGGCAGCAATGGCCGGGTGGCTTGCTGTCCGCCAGTCTCAGATTTGTTGATCCACCCCAATATTGCCTTGTTTCTGGACCAACGGTCACACACACACACACACACCTCAGCCGCCTTTTGCGCGAAAAGAGCTGCCGCTTCTGGCCGGTAGTGATACGAGCTGATCTGCCATCATGGCCAGTGGGACACAAATTGACCGTGTCCTGCGAAGCCATCGTCTCCTTGAAGATGCGCCTACCACTGCTGCCCAAGACACGGCAGCAAACCAGCATGAACGTCTCGAAGCCTGCTCTCACCTCCGAGAGGGCGCCATTCAAGCATCAGCTCGGTCAGTGACATGGCCCTGCCCTCTCTCCAGCACTAGCGATGCCACGATGCATGCCAGTCCTCCGCGTGCTGTCCACATGCTCATGTGCCTTGCTGGCTCCGTCTCGCCTTGACTCATTCTGTTCATCGGCCGTGTTGAATCCGTTTCCTCGCACAGTGTGACTGATGAATTTCTCAAGATTCTTACAGTCGCTGTCTCAGGCCTTCTCAAAGCCTGTGCCGATGTCGACTCGGACGTGCGCATGCATGCCGACGAACACCTCAATCGTCTTATTCAGGTGGCGCCCCTCCCTCTTTGAGCTCAGCTCCAGCCCCTCTGCGCACCATGCGCAAGCCGCCTCACCTTTGAACCCTTTCACTCATCGTGTCTTTCTTTGTGCAGGCGCTCATGGACCGCCACCTGAGCCGCTTGCAGAATGAGCTCTTCAAGGCCGTCAAGATGGTCCGAGTGCTCTTTGAAATCGTGGTGCTCCTTAAATCTGCTCACGCCGACTCATGTCAATCCCATCGTGCTTGCCTGCGCAGGAATCAGCCCCCACTCGCATGGTGCGCGCCGCCCTCATCAAGTTTGCTGACCTGGTTCACCTCCTCAAAGTCTGTCTCGCTTCCCTGATGCTCTGATCGGACCACGAAAATGAACCACTATGCTGTTTGGTTCGTTCATTGCTCACGCACACCACTTGGCATGCACTTGTATAGCCACTGCGCCGCTTCAAGTACGTCAAGGTCATGGTACCTCGCCTGCGCGTCCTGCTGGCCAGCAACGATGAAACCCTGCAGGTCTGCCCAAACACAATCGAGCAATTCGTGCCATTTTCCGCACCCAAGAAGTCCCCCCACGAGCGCACGTCTTACAAAATCGTCGCCATCAGGAAACCTTGGCCACGTGCATGGAAAAGATCTGCGACGCCACAGGGCTCTACTTTGCGGATGATCAAGTTCAGGTACTTTTGTGCACACAACTTTGTGCAATGCTCACACACACACACACACACACACACACACACACACACACACACACCGTTCTTGCTCAACTCATTCCACTCACCTTACCATTATTCACCCCTAAAACAGGACCTTCTTACTCAACTATTGGAAAACCTCAACAGCGAAAGCGCCACCGTGCGCCGGTCGAGCACAACATCAGCCATTGCCGTCTGCTCCGGCAGCAGTCGGCCCCTTTACTACCTCAAGGTATGCTCCCTTCACCCCGCGCGGCTCTGGCTCCTGGCCGCCCCTCGTTGCCAAAAGCTTTGCGTGTCCCTGTCCTCATGCAATATCATGCGCTCGGGCGGCTCCGTCCACATCACAGCTCTTTCTGAACAGCCTCTTTGCCCTCACTCCAACCACGCACAACAACGAGCTCTCCCACGCCAAGGAGCAGGAACACACCATTTTGGGAGCCTTGCTTGCCTTTCGAAAGCTCATGACCGAGTTTAGCATCAAAGCACAGGAAGCTGTGACTCCTGACCAGGTATTGTCCCTCGGCTTTCCATCGCATTCGTTGGCTTCCGGTCGTGCAGGGCAAGTATTCATCGCATTTGCTTTCCTCTGGTCTTGCCTCACCTTTCGCCTGCAACCTCGCCCAGCTCCTAGACAGTCACACCAATGAGCGACTCTTCCATTTTCTTTTGGCTTGCTTGCAGCATGAAAGTCACAACGTGCTGACGGGCGCTCTCGAGGCCTTGATTCAGCAACTGGACTCTATTCGTGGCAAACTTGTACATTGGATGCGCCAGCCGGAACGCTTGCATGAGTGTGCCAATGTTCTCTCCCGCTTCATTTTGGATCCCAAGCGTCGCGACCGCGTTAGGTCAGTTTTTGCAACCTTGAACATGTTTACACAAACCAAGCAATATTCTGGACTGATGAGATGTATCATGCCTGACGCCCCACCACCTCCTCCTTCCTGTGTCGTTTTAGCGTCAAAGCGCTGGCCGTCGCATGTATTGGAGCTCTTCTTCAGTTTGACGCCAGCTTGATTTATTTTCAACGCGAGGGTGTCACTTTCTTTGCTGCGTTTTGCGAACTCTCCAAGCACCCGTTCGTGCCCGTGCCCAGCTGCTCATGCTGAGATCTCGTCACAGCCGACCGACTTTGTTCTTTTGATTCATTTCCTTTTTCATTAATTTTTTTTTTCCAAACCTGTGTTTGATGTCATGTCTTCGTTGTAGGGACCAGCTAGTTCGAGGCAACGTCTACTCCCTCTTTGGATCTCTCATTAAGGTACAATCTGCGTGTTTACTCTTGTCTCCTCTTCACTGAGCGCATCTCATGACCACACTGGCAATGGGCCATGGACCGACCTGCTGTCATTCTCGCACGCGCAGCATTCGTTGGTGCATACGCACCTGGTCTTTTCTGATGTACCCTTGCCCAGCAAGGATCTCATGGAGATTGGGGTGTTTGGCGTCAAACCCATTTCCGTGTTGGAGCTGTGTCGTCTTCTAGTCGAAGCACTCAACGACTCCATTGCCACTGCGGCTCGAAGTGTGAGTCGCGGCACGCCTTGACCGAGCCTTGCATGAGGCCTGCTAGTAGCCCACAAGTTTGCAGTCATTGCGCCAATTTGACTGACCTTAACTTTTGGCATTTGTGGCTACGTGAGCAGGCCGTGGCGGCGCTTCGTTATTGCCTTCCACAAGTACTGAAGAGCACACACGGCGGAGTGGCTGTGGAGATTCATCATTGTATACTGGCCCTTCGCCACTCTTCGTACTGGTTGCTGAAAACCGAGGTTGGCAGTCCCCAGCTTTCATTCTCTGACCATCGTTGAAGTTCTCACCCACGACTCTCCCTTTCTAGTTGGTAGACTTGATTGGCGAGACCGAGTATCTGCTCGTTCATTTCCTGGAGTCCTCAAGTGTCGACCTCGGTGACTCGGCCTTGCTTCCTACCACGCCCGTTTCCATGCCACAGCGTGCGTACCACACACCCTGAGACCGTGATGCACCAACCAAAGTTGTGCAAATATCTCACCAACGCACCCGTCCACGTCCATTACAGGTCACCGCAATCTTACTGGTCAAACCCTGCAGGACGCGTCCTTGGAAACCATTCTGCTCCTTCTAGGTGTGCGCATCAAGCATCATCTAAAGACGCATGCTCGGATACTCACGTCTTTTTCCTATCCTCCTATGTACCTTCATAGGGGATGCGGACGCTCGTGTTCGTGAAGCATCTGCCGCTTGCCTGCTCAAGCTGGTGTCACGCTTGTTCTATGTGGAAGACTGGCCTGGCCAAGATGCCTTTACCGCTCTCGTGGAGCGGGATGTGGCCTTTCTCACCGGCATTGCCAGCAAGGCGTCTTGGTATGTGCGAGCAGCCAGGGCCATTTTGACTGTTACGAAATTTGAAAAACTGTCTCTTAACTTGCACATGTGTGACTTTAGGACTGCCACGGGCCGGGATCAGGAGCGGCCTGAACTCCATGCCCATGTACCACGGTACGCACTACCACTCAGGCAAAAATGTTATGTTGAATTGACCTGGCCTCAACACTTACCATGAGCATGTCTATAGAGCAAATTTGTCACGCCTTGTGGCCATGCTAGTCGCTCGCCTCTACTCTTCGCAAAGCAAGACGGTCATTGTGGTGAGGCCTTGCATCCTGGCACAAGAGACGTGCCCCAGAGTCATCTTGGTCGCAACTTTTTTTTTTTTTTCCTTCTTTTTTTTCTTTTTTTTCTTTTTTTTTTGTTTGGTTGTTGTGGTTGTTGTTGTTAGTTGCACTCAATACCCAATGTCATGTTTCCCTAATTGTAGGGCATGTATCATGGTTTGAACGTGCTGACGGCTCGCAACAACGTCCCAGACATTGTGCAACGACCTGCACGGTACACCGACAGCTGCGACCCTTTCTGCCGTGCAAACGCCGCCGATTGCTTTGACTTTTTTAACGCGAGTGTGTGCCCATTTTGCTTAGTGGACATCCGCCCGCTGTTCAGCCCGAAGATGTCCTTCCTCTTGCACTTGCCCATATCAAGGTAGGCATTTCAAGTGTGCAGTTTGATGTGGTTCAGCACTGCCCCTCACCCGCAGCTCCCGCTGCCATCCCCTGCAATGCATACCAACACACCATTCACTGCAATAGCTGAGCTGGATTGCCTCAGACCTGGGTGCCCATGCCGACGTTTTAAACCTCGTTGGCAATTTGTTACGGAGTGCCAACAAATCCTACGCTGCGCCCTTTGTGCTCCCGCTCCTCGTACATGTGCTCCGCATGATCAACATGTGTGTGCATATCTTTGATAAGAAAGTTCCCACCTTGAACAAGACCACGAAACAAGAGAGGAGATCCACCACTTCCTCGCCACGCAGCGATGCCGGCACCACAGCCCCCTCTGCAGTTCGTCTTGCCATGCCATTGTGCTCCTGTATAGTCCCGTTGTGCAGCCATTTCTCAAAGGTTTTTTGGCGTCCTCGCAGATGGATTTGGCAGACGATCTCTCGCCCTTGCCGGGCAAGCCGTTGGGATACTTCACACACTTGCCATATTACATTGAGCTCTATCAATTGTTGCACTCCGCTTACGTCTCCAACAAGATTACGCTTTCCTCCCAGTCGGTATCCAAGTAAGTCATGACTTTTGATTCTTTGGCGCTCTTTGTTTGAGCAATGAGCCAGACATCTCACTTTTTGGCATCGCGGTTGCTTCAAACTAGATTCGGCCACATGGTGCGCACTTGCTTAGAAGTCTTGACGATACTCGTCGAGGTGGAAGGCTCGTCCTTCCACCAATATGCCGCCGAAGTTCTTCAATACTTGCAGGTCAGTTGCACGAGGGACTCAGCCTTGCCACCCGTGGCAGTATGCCGACTCACCCCTTGTTCCTTGGGTAGAGCGTGGTGGCTCCTGAGCCTCGAGCTGTGCTTCTGTGCGTGCATCAGTTGATTCAGGCCTTGTTTGAGCCACCAAGAATCATGATTCAGACTGAAGGCGGCTTGGAGGGCAGCCTGCGGGTGGACAGTGCCACTCTGCTGTTGGGCTACTATGAACGCTGCATTGGTGCGCCTTTTTTTTTTTTTTTCTTCTTTTTTTTTTTTTTTTCTTCCTTCATCTGCTTGGGTGATGAATTCGAAAACTGCGCTGCGCCTTGAAAGGTGTCTCACAAAAAGGCCTCTGGCACTTTGTTAGACATGCTGAGTGGCGACCTCAACAGTGGAAAGCGTTCCACGAGCACCGCCGTGTCTTCTACAGCTGCAGCCAGCCCCCGTTGGTTCACGCCCTTGTCTTTCCAGTGCCTTGGCCAATTCTTTTCAAGTCTTGTCGCCTGCTATGCTGTGCTCGCTTTACTTATGGGTTGACTATTGGTCCTTAGATGACTCGCCAGTCACAACGCGCCGACGGGCCACGGGAGCCAAAGCCGACAAAGAAGCCATGTTCTCCTTTGTGCGCATGTTTGAGCCTCTGGTGATGCGCGCCATGAATCTTTTTACAACCACAGCGTAAGATGGCGACAAACTTGTCTTGAGCTCCGATTCCTTGCCACTCTTGTTTCTGGCTCGTCAGTGGTGCTGTCTCAAAGAGGTGACTTCACCTGGTGCTTTCTCTCGACTTGGCAGGTCGGTCACGTTGCAGCAACAAATCATCTTCCTAATTTGTCGACTGATGCAAATGCGCGTCAACTACCGAGTCCTTGATAAGAACCTGGTTGGTCTGCGTCTCTACATCTTGCCCCCTGCCCCTCCCCCCTCTCTCGTGTGAGTAGTCTTGGCAGGACTTACGGTCAACACCTCTTCTGGTAGATTTTCAAAACGGCCGTGGACAGCCACTATGACTCAATTGTGGAGGGACGTGTGCGCAAGCCCCAGAACCTCCTGTCTTACATGTTTCAGTTCCTGGCTCTTCTGGCCATGGTCGGTTCCGCACTCTGCCGTCCCTAGCGTGTCGTGCATTTGTCCAGCATCAGCTTAGGTTTGCGCTTTTTCCCACACTTGCCTACGCCGCGCAGGACTACCCGGAAATCGTGACAATGGAGAGTCTCATTGAAAAGGCTAACCGTCTCTTGACTTCGCACCACCTCACACCACGCCAAGCCATCCCTGCGTTTCGGCCGCTGGTGCACGAGCTATTTGTTGTCCAGGGCCACGTCAAATATGTAAGTTGTCTTGAATTTGTTCCTTTGTTCTTGTTCTATTCTTTTTGTTGTTGTTGTTGGGAGGTTTTTTTTATTTTTTATTTTATTTTTTTCCTTCACAATTTCAGTCACTGGCTCAACTCATGACATGCTGCGCCTCACCTTCTTCCCTTTGGACTTGTATCAATCAGCCCTCTGCTCAACTACAGGCCCAGCAATCACTTTTGCTTGACTCGCTATTGCAAATGGTCTCCTTCTCAGCCGTGCAGGAGCAGCTCGTGGCCTTGCTCAAATCCATTTCCAGCGATCAAGATCGCTATCGATCACTCTCCCGCAAAGTCAGATGAGCTCACCTTGTTGAGACACGTTCCCACCATTGTGCACACCCTTGGAGGCTCTCACCTGGATTGTTCTATCTTACAGGTGGTGGATGCATTGCGCAGTGCGATCAATTCACAGCAGGTGGAAGTCCGCTCGCCGCGCTCCCTGAGCATCCTTCACACGCTTCTGCAAAGCGTAGCTGAAGTGGCCCTGTCGCCCATCGAGCTGATTTTACTGGACGCCACCGACGTAGCCGCTGCGCACGTCATGAAGGACCTTTCCGTTCATGATGATGAGGATGCATGCCGCTATTGGTTGCCACAGTTCATTGCGTTGCAAGCCGTCGTGGCGCGTAATGACGGCCACGCCGTCCAGAGCGGTTTGGAGCGTATGCTCGTCAAGCAACGCCTGGCCACGCCTGACGCCGGGAATGTCTCAGAGCGAGCCGCCTCTACCTGGATGGACCTCTTATTCCGCGCCATGTTGAAGTGCTCTCACGAGCTGGCCCACGGTGATGCTGTCTCACGCACGTACACCACGCAACAAATGGCTCAACTCCTCAAGCACGCGACGGCATTTCTGGAACGTCTGGAACGTGACTCGTGGCTTCTTGCTGCGGCACGCTCGGCCGCGCGCGACGCAGCTGCGACCATCACGGCCAATCTGCAACTGATCGTTTTTAGTGACCCCCTCCTCATCATGCTCTGGAGTCGTCTCTTAAGTCGGGTTGAGGCAACCAGCGATGGTAAATTGGGCCTGCAGGCGCGCTGGGTCTTTGTATCATTCATCCGAGTGTTGTTCCTCGGAAACTTGGCACTCATATCATTCGATACTGCCGCTGATTTCCCTGCCGTGCAGATTTGTGGGCAGCCTGTGGTTTGAAGGGGACCAAGAAAGCAGAGAACTTTGGCGACCTGGTAGCTCGGCGTAGTGCGTTTTTGCTCATTGTAGAAAGTGTGCAAGTGTTTGCACATGATGATCCAAAGGAGGTAAGAGGGCAACCCGACGCTTGCCCAATCAATCTCGTCAACTCATACGGCATGCGCTCATCATGACCTCTACCCGACCGAATCTTTGCTTCCTCTCAATCAGGTCTTGTCGGTTATTCGGGGTGCCTCGCCTGATTGGGCGCGCCTACTCTTGCACCTCGTGCGAGAGCGACCCTTGCGATCACTGCTCACGACCATGTGTGAGCATTCACCGCCCTTGGCCATGGCGGCCTGCGAGCTATTGGGCGAGGCCATTGCTGAGGGTGCCAACTGGCCTGTGGCACCCGCCGAGCAAATGAGTGTGATGCAGACCATTGACCACTACCTAGCCTCTGTCAGCAACGAGGTTGCTTTGCAGAAGCTACTTCGTATTCCGGTCGGTGGGCAGGGCTTGCATCTAAGTATGAAGCCGTTCCTGGCTGGTTTGCTGGCCGACAAGCTTTTGGCCATTCAGGACGACAACGAGGAGATGTTTGCCGTCTATCTTCGCGAGCTGGGCCAGCACAAGTGTGCATCCAGTTTACCAATTCGTACTTTGATTGAGGCCTATGCACCGCCTATCTCCGGCGATCCTGCACCCGACCCCAAGGCAGTCATTCGGTGCGTCTGGACCCCGTCATTTGCGCGTGTGCCGTCTCCTCCCACAGACGTGTCTGCATCTTTGAACAATCATATCATGTCTCGCTGGTGTGGTGCAAGGCATAACCCCTGACTTGACGTTGTCACAACCATTTTAGCCAAGCGTTGTTGGATGTACCTCAAGGAGCAGTGGAGACGCACGCCACGAGCATCGCCCGAGCCATTCTGGAGCTGCCTGTTGATCAGCTTAGGTGAGTTGGGGCAGTCGCGTTTCCATGGCCCATTGTCTTGCCAGCGCCGTGGGCTTTCGGGGTGGGGGGGGGGGGGAGCCAGATTGGTCGCTTTTGCTCACACAAGCACCCTGGGGATTTTAAACGCACAGGGAGGTGACAACGGCGTCTTGGATGCCGACCTCCATGTTCCGTCCGCTGCTTCTCGTGACGGTGCAAACGGCAGAGCGCATGGCCGTAATCAAACCGTTCAAGGACTCTATTGATGCCGACAACAGCTCTGATCAAGAGTACATGGAGGCCGTGGCGTCGCGGGCTGGACTGAGCGATGAGGCTGCGTCATCCCAGATTACTGATGCCGTCAGCAAGCTGCGTGTTGTCATTTCATCCTGCTTACACACGATTGAGCACTGCCAGACTGAGCCATGTGTGGTACATCTGGCCGTCACGCTGATGCAACTGCATCGCGTCTCTCGTACTTGCTCCAATCCTCTCTGGCATTACAGTGGGCTACAGGACTGCATTCAGTTGGATGTGGCCACTCTACAGGCCCTACTGCAGTATTGGCTCGACGAGTCGGAACGCTGCTTGCGCCTCTTGCGCGCGCAGGCACGCCTCACCACCGAGCACCTCAGTGCTACGTTAACGGGTATCGCCGAGCTGCTAGCCATCCTGAGCCCAGAGCAACTCGTTGGCGAGCAGATAACGACAGAGGGGGCAAGAGATGGCCACGATGCTGCCTCGCCTGATGGTTTCATGGTTGCGGAGCGCATTGCTCCCATGATCGAACTCATGCACGAGCTACGACGCACCGCGAGATTTGGCTGCTTTCTACCCGACCCTTTGACGCCCCAGAAAAGTTATGAGGAGCAGCTAACGCTGGCCTTGGCCGAGCAGACCGAGCCACCAATGCAGCCTCCATTGGGTGCTGATTTGGTTCAGCGCATCGTGTTGGCTGTTCGCCACGGCTTTGGAGAGGCTTTGCAACTTGAGGGTGGTTGTAGCGATTTGCGTGCGACCCCTCGCCTGCCCGCGCACTTGCGGGTGGCCTTGAACAATGCCGTGGCGGGACTGGCCCATGCCGTGCAAATGCAGCTCCACCAGGTGGGTTTGTGCTGCAATCCAGAGACGGCAAAGCCATCCCGCCACCACGGGGAGTTTTTGGCCGAGCTGCAGGGATCGCAGGGCTTGGAGATGCGGCGCCAGCTTTTAGAGGACGATTTGGTGTGTTCTTCGGTGGTCGAGCGGCTACGAGGGGCCTTGGAGCATAGCCAGCCGCTCTTGCCGGACCACATGGAGACGATGGAGGCACTCTGGACGTGGCTCCGAGACGTACTTGCCTTCCGCGATCAGCATCCCGAACCCGGCGAGCGCTGCCGAGGCGTGTGTAGCAGCCTGGGAGGCATGCTGGCGCTTCTGGAACAACTTTTGCAGCAGCAAATGGTCAATTTTCACCTCCAATGTAGCTCGGCGCATGTGGCACCGGTCATCACAGACTCGCATTGCCCGTTCCTCAACTACAAGCGACCCAACTTTATGCAAAGCCAGGCTGGCGTACGATTACTATTGGCCTTGAGCAGTTTTGGGCGTTCTCGTTCCTCGCTACTCTTGCAGCTAGCCCACAACGCCTCAATCTTCCGCCGTCACTCGGTTCGTACTGGGCATGAAACATTGATCCGAAACACATCCCACTGATCCGGGTCACACCCTGCCGGTTCGATCCTGGCTGGCCTGGCTCTGATGCAGTCTTTTTTTTTTCCTCTGCGTGGGCCTGTGTTGTGCTCTTTAGATGTTGTTACCTCTGCAATCACAATATCACAATACCCACGGTCTGGAGCTGTCTACACCGGCTCGCCAGTGCCTAAATGACTATCTTGAGCTCATCCAAAGCATCATCAAGAAACAAGCCTCTGGAGACAACGACCACCACGTACGCAAGCCATCGCCCCTTGCATTGTGCTTTGAAATAGCGTGTCACTTACGTTTGGTTTGGACCGTCTTTGGATGTGCCCACTTTTTACTTGATGGGCCTGTGCAGTTGCGCCTCCGTGTGGCACGCTGTTTGCAGCTCCTGGCTCAGCAGGTGGCTGATCGGACTTTACTGCAAACGATCCACTCGTGTCTGCTCACCTTGTTACACGAGGCCGATGAGGAGGATTACCTGCTGCTGCGGCATCTCATACCCGCGGTGGCCACGGCGCAGCAAGCCTTGGTGGCTGTGGTACGTCTCGAGCCAAGGGATCGTCAAGCAAGCTTTGTCAGACACTGGGAGTTTTGGAGGTTTAGGGAGGGGGAGGGGGGGGCTTTTCCTTTTTCTTTCTCTTTCTCTCGGGGGTTTTTTTTTTTTTTCCCCCGTCATGGCTCGACGCTCTGATGCGCCGATGCGGTGTCGACGTAACTATTGCTCACTGTTACTCGCGATTTGGCCCCGTGCAGGACGCACAGGTGGGACTAGACGAAGTATTTTTTGCAGCTCTTCTCAGGGGTCTACGCCACGCCTGGCCTTCGATGCAAACTGCTGCGCTCAATGCCGTGCGGTAAGCGATGTATTTGTCGTGACGGCCACACGTTTAATGGATGATCAGCGGCGGGCGGCTTTGTGCGTGATGGCCTTGGCGTGGCTTCATCTGGCTTTTTCTCACAAGCTCGCTCGTGTCTGATGGCGTATATAGGGTGGCCATGCCTTCGCTCAATGTCGTGAATCACGAGGTTTTGTTGGTGGAGGTGCAGACGTATTGTGTCACGTCTCTGACGTCAGCCCTGAGTATTTCATCGTCTGCCAACGACGAGCACATTCCTCCCCAATCGGCAGTACTGAGGGCAGTGTTATTGCTGGTCGCAGAGATGGTCGTCCAGTTTCGTGATGCTTGCGTGGAGACGGGTTTTGTCGGGCGGGTGGTGTCCGTACTGGCGTCCCTGGTCGAGTTTGCGTCGCGGGAGCTCGAAGCATCTGTACTGGAGGCCCTGTATGCGTGCCTGGAGCACATGCTACTCAACTTTGTCCTAAGTGTGGGCGAGTGCGAGTGTGTGAGGCAGAGCATCGTGCGGGCCAACCTGCGCCCGGACGTGGACACGGCCTTGGGCGGGCATGTGTGGACGTTTCTCTTGGCAGCCCTGTATACGGCGGGTCACTTTAAGCTGGGGTCTGAGCAGATGCAATCGCCTGCCGGGCCCCAGGACACGAGCTCGACGATGAGTCATGTGCCGATGGAGTGGGTGGACTACCTGACATCCCTGCCAGCCGCCCAGCGGCAGAGCGCGTCGGTGGCGGTGGCGGTGGTGGACATGCTGCGCTACTGCTATCCCGCGCGAGACGTCCTGAAAGATTTGATGGGCCGATGGTCGCGGGGCTTGAGTGGGATGGTGATGAGCTCGTCTCGGCTGGATGTGGTTACGTACATGCAGAGGCTGGGCACGCAAACACACTTTGCCCTGGCAGTCTTTGGAAACCTGATGACGACACATGGCGAAGCCGTGTGTGACTGGGTGGCACAATCGTTGAGCAACTATGTACACTCGCCGTTTGTCAAGCAAGTCATGGCAGCTCTACTGTTGGCGGCTGTGCCCAACCCAGTCTTCCGGGCCCTGGCACCGGTGTGTGCAGAGCGGGGAGCGTCTCGAGCCACGCTCGATCGTTTGCTGAGCACCGGGATCACCTGTTTTCTGCGCCAGCGGCCTGAGCTTCGTCTGGAAACTGCAGATCTAGCGTTGCAGGTGCTAACGACCGTGTGCAAGGAGGTTATGCCGGAGATTCAGCTGACCCTAGCCTTGCGTCTGGAGGCGGCTGGTGCCGAAGCGGGTGATGCGGATGACACAACCAATCTGGTTGTGGACCTGAGCGGGCCCCCTTCTCCGGACCTGGCTACAGATTCGCATGCGACAAGTTCAAACACCGTGGAAGCTTCCGAGAGATAGCGGTGTGCTTATTTTGACAGGATAGGACGGGGCAGCGCCTCTGGCGCATGGCTGATAATGAGTGGAGCTTCGTTTTCCGGATTTTGTAAATTTCTTCTTCTCGACACCAATGAAATTGATCGATACTCCTAGAGACCCACAAAGGCAAAGAGATGCAATCATACGAAAAGGCGAGAAGACGAGCAGATGGCATTCAGTCCGCCAGATCATCGTCAAGAAGGGTTCCATGTTTGTCAGAAGAAAGAGCCACGCCAACTTTGGCGTCGGCTACATGTGTTTTCTTTTTTAGTCTCTCTCTCTCTCTCTCTCTCTCTCTCTCTCTCTCTCTCATCAACTCTCTCTACACCTTTTAGTTTTGTCACACACGTCGACACGAAATCTCATGGAGTTGCATTTTACTTGATCTCGACCTTGATCCTTGGTCAGCGTACTCTTTCTGTTCAGTGGCTATTCGACCGAGAACATCAGCAGCATTCCTTGCCTGTGGCAGCGACAACGTAGCAGTCATGAGCACACACTCGACCAGTTTGAGCAGCGTGCAGGCGGCTCTCGATGCCGTGGCTCGGCCTCGCGGTTATAGCTGCAAGGCCGTCTCTTGGGACGACGCACAACGCGGTACTGTGGGCGGTGAGCTTTCCAGCATCGGCGGCAACATCACTGATACCCGCTTGTGGGCCAAGGACGGCCGGCCTTTGTACACGCTACGTTCCGACAACTGGAATGAAAAGCTGGGCGTCGTCTCGTCCGACAAAGTGGCCCTGCTTGTGGGCAGTCACCTTGAAGATGCCTCAACCCTCAGCCCCATCACACTGCGCACCTTTTTGCGGCGGGCGGGTGAGTATGGTGGCTACGCTGGCGTCCCGGCCGGCACCGACCTAGATGCTCAGCTCGTGGATGACAAGGTCTCGATTCGCTTCCAAACCGTGTTTCTGCCCGTGCAAGACGATGCACGCCAGCGCGGCGCTCTGGAGTTTTGCACCGAAGCCTACAACTACAACACCCACGATGACAGTGACCCTCGCAACTTGCTCCTCCTTTGCACAACCCAAGGCACGGCTGTGCAGCAGGATGGACGCGGCGCCAAGAAGCTCTATCACCATGCCTGCCACGATGGTCAGATTCACCGCTACTGGCTTGAGGCTGAACGCTCTTCCCACGCAGTGGGCGGTGCACAGGAAGAGACCGAGGCCGAACGGGCAGACGCCCTCGCGCGTGGCAAGGCCACGGCCAGCGTGATCGGTATCCCCGCCATGGGCACCCGCTTCAACGTCCTCATGACGGTCCAAGTTCCCCTGGTGCAAAAGCCCCGTAGCCGTAGCCGCCACGACTATACTATGGCTCTGCAAGACGGCGCTGCCTTCCCCGCAATCGCGTGCAGCGCCTTTCCCATGCCCGGAGGAGGAGCACCTCCCTGCCCCTCAATTTCAAGCTCCAGCTGTGTCGCCCACCGTGGACGCCTGCGAAGCAAAGCCGCCTGCAGGGAGCTGCTCTCAGGCACCGCCAACGCGGCTCGCGTGTCTCGCGGTTCTCAAGTAGATACCTGGAGTGGCCTCTCCGTCAAGAGCCCCAAGCGTCAGCCTGCCCCCTGCACCGTGACCGTCGTCGTGTACTACACAGTGGCAGGCGGTGTGCCCTCGCCCGCTGATGTCAAGGCCGCCGTTGACGATCTCGAGGCCCTCTACGCCAGCTGCGGTGCCACCGGGCGCCTCAACGACGCCGAGTTTGATTTCATGAAGCACGAACTCACGACTCACGAGCACCATGGCGTGTGGCAAAAGGTTCAGGACGAGCCCTACAAGCCCGTCCCCGTCCCCGTGGCCAACTACAATGTCTTCCCCCAAAGCAGCTAGACCTGATGGCCACGAAGCTTGTTGTTAATGATAAGAAAACCCGCGGTGGTGTCTTCTTCGTTTCGTTTTGTTGCACAAATTTGAAATTGATGACCGACCTCGACAACGGAGCCATGCAGCGAAATGCAGCGAAATCACATTTGACGGTTTGAGCAAAGCGCACAGTTAGCTTATCAGCATCTTATCCGTTCTTTCACATTGTAGAGCCTGACTTGGATGGTTCAAGTGCTTAAGAAAAAAAAAACAATTGCAATTGCTATGGAAAAAATTTCGAAGAAATGCCACCAAAATTATTCAAAAACTCTCTTTTTCAAGCAGTGGCATGTCTACATGCGCACTCCCAGATCCCTATCTACGCAAATGAGCTGGCACAGCTGCACGGTCAAGAGAGAAGGAGGTTGGACTCAGCCACAAGAAACGCATCATCTCCCGATTAAATTTCTACAAAAAAAAAAAAAGGCCTTCAAATTCAATTATAATGGTTTGTTGTGTTGAGCCCAGCCCAAAGTTGGCAAGTTTCTGCCTGATTGACGTACGAGTGAGAGCCATGAATCGCCCTTGTGCCTCCACTATGCATCGTAATAGCCCAGCACATTTGCTTGCTGCTCAATAAGTTGCCGTAGCTGGCGGTATGTGAGACTATGTCGATCCACCATATCTGGATCAATCTTGAGCATGCGGGTGGTGTTGCCATCGAAACTGGGCTCTATGCCTTCACTCGTTTCCGGTCCTTCAACCCATTGCCGAACGGCTGCGGCCGCGGGACCAAAGTCGATGCCAACGGCGGCATCAGCTGCCTGTGATAGGCGCTGCAAATGTGTGCGAAATGCTGTGGGGCCCGATGCAAACAGTTCACGCCGAAAATGCGTGATGACGTGGCGCGCCGGGTCGGCTTGCCGCGGTGCAGGACGATTGCACACAAACACCAGCTTGTGCAAGGGCTGCAGCAGCGACACCGTCGGGTCTTGGATTGGCCGCAACTCCTGCGTTGGGATCAATAGGGTCTTGGCGATGCCGCTGGCTGGCCGCGAGTGGCGCATCGTACTGGATGCTGAAGTGGGCAGGCGCAGACCAGCTTCCGAGCGCTCGCTCGCCGCCCGAGAACGTCCCTCGGGTGGGCCACCCTCATCAAAGACTTCTTCTTCCTCAGTGCGCACAGAAATGGGCCCTTCACCGCCACTGCCGCCAGAGCCACGGCCGTTGCGACTTGCGGAGCGCAGGGCACCAGCGCCGTGATTCATCGAGGCAGAGGCACTGCCCACGCCACGCTGGGTAAGAAACAAGTTGGACGTCATACTCGACGACAAAGCACCCGGTGACTCGAGCACCGAGGGCAAGCGTGACCCATGGCCATTGACGGCCGAGCCATGTGCCATGCGCAATAAGTTACGAAAGGACGACTTTTGTTCCTGAGCTTCGGTTCGCAGCCGTTGCTTCAGCGATCGCTCTTGTGAAATGATGCGGTCTTTGACTTCCAACGTCAGTACGGCATCGTTGTACTCCCGCATGATCACCGGGCCCAAAAGATGGCACACCTCATCAATATCTGGACGCTTGGCGGCGTCTGCAGTCAAGCAGCGATCAATGACGTTGCGCAGGAGTTCAGGCTGGGTGTCTGGCAGGGGCGGATACCGTGCTTCCACGATGCGCTTGGCAAGAGCCAGCATGTTCGTGGTGTTGAACGGCGGCTCCAGTGTGGCCAGTTGATAGAAAATGCACCCAAGTGACCATATATCGCTTTTCGCACCATCTACAAAACAAAACAAAACAAAACAAAAACACAAAACAAAAACAAACATGCGTGGTGAAGAGCAGCTGCAGATTGAGGAGACGGAGCCCCTCGTCAGGGCCATCCAAGCGAGCTGAGGAAAGCAAACATACAAGGCGCGCCGGTCACAATCTCCGGACATGAATAGCACAAGGTGCCCACGGAGGACTGCATAAGCGTACTGCCGGTCTGTCCCTTGCGCGCTGACCACCGGGAAAACAAGGAAGAAAGAAGCAAGCAGACGGGGTGAGTTTGGGGTTCGGCCAGCCACAGTTGGATTTTGCTCGTTTGGCACATCTAACAAGAACAAAAACCTAGCGTGCTTACCAAGGCCAAAGTCAATAATCGTCACCTTGTCGTACCAGCCCAGCATGATGTTATTGGGGGTGACATCACGGTGCACCTAGCAATCACAGCGGGATGCAGTGGGGTTATGGGCCTGAAGTACACGTTTAAACTCCAGCAGGTCGTTGGAAGAGACCATCTGTCCCCTCTGTGCACATGGAGTCGCATGCAACAACAGGTCAAGGGTAACGCACCACTTTACAATCCTTATGAATATAGCGAAGCCCGTTGACAATTTGGATGGCAATTCGCCAGATGCGGGTCTCACGGAACGTCTGCCCTTTTTCCTTCAGGGCGTTGACGTTCTCCTGCAAGGAAGCACCCTCCACCATTTCCATGACGACATAGAGGTTGGAGCCGTCTACGAAGCTGTCCATGTACTTGACCACGTTTGGATGCTTGAGCTTGGCATTTTCCATGATGGAGATCTGTGGGCACAAGGGCCGCAGCGGTTACGGGACCGGTTTGATGCCTGGGCTTGGATGGTCGTTCAAAAGGGGAGGCATACCTCATTTTCAATGAGCTTGAGGCTGTGGCTACGCTCGGCATCTGTCGAACCGAACAACAACGGGTTCTTTAGGGGCATTTCTTTGAGGGCGACAGTGCGCCCTGCCTTGCTGTCACTTTCGTCGATGATTTGTTTGGCCCGATAGACGCTGCCAAATGAGCCCGAGCTGGGGGGTGGCAAGGACACGCAGGCAGGGGGACATGAGTGGGAGGGCAGGGGTTAGCAGTCAAGTGCGCGGGTTCACAGCGGCAAGTGCGTGTAGGGGGGACAGTTGCACGAACCCAAGAATTTCAAAGACTTGATAGTTGTTGATGCGTTTGATGGGTTCGTTGTGAACGCTGGTTTCCAGAACGGCATAGTGGAGGCGTCGTCGTGCCCGGTCCCCCATGCGCAGGATGACCTTGGCCATGATGCGGTACTTGTTCAGATCGTACTGATAGTGGCCAACATCGATAAAGTCGGCAAAGAGGTCGGGCGGGAACATGCGCTTGAAGAAGCGGCGATTGCGGGCGACGGAAAATAAAAAGCGCAGCAACCTTAATACGTAAGCCATTAGGCGCGAGGCTGCCGACTGACGGGCTGTCTATATACATGGGTTGCCACAGGGAAGGGGTTGCAGGGTTGCCATTGGTTAAGGAGAGCACAGGAGTCAGGATGAAGATGGTGCGCAGGCGTGTGTGTGTGTGTGTGTGTGTGGTGGCTCGGGCGTACCTCCGATTGGTCCGCATCGGTGAGTTGAATGGAGGTGATGAGCAAGCAAGCAGCTAGGAAAATGGCATTGGCTTCTTGGATGGCCACGGCGTTAATCTCCGAGCGCGCCAAATCTGTGAGGACGGAGCAGGTTGAACACAGGAGGGAGGTGACCATGGGCCGTCCTCCTGCAACGCCCGGGGAGCTGGAGCTGGTGTCGGAGGGCGTGTCACGGCCCCCAGAGCTACTGGGCCGCACCGAGGCCGATGTGGGGCGGGAGGAAGTGGGGCGAGAGGCAGCGGAGAGCAGAGGGCGGCCGGTGGCGGTGCTGGTGGCGGTGGAAGGGGGTGGGGGGAGCTCGGGGCCGAATCGTTGGAGCAGCCGAATGAGAGCTGGAATGGCACCGGCGGCACGAACTTCTTCCTGGTAGTTTGGGGAAATGTGTTCAAGAATTTGGACGGTGGGGAGGAGGAGTGCAGTGTTGCGATCCTGCAGCTGGAGAATGCAGGCGTGGATCATGCCGTGGGTGACACAATCGTCCTGAACAACGGCTTGGTCGGCCAGGCGGGCGAGGAGGCGAGCGGCTGCCAGGCTGACGCTCCAGGCGGTGGAGGAGTCTTGAAGCAATTCGATGCAGACGATGGCGGCCTCGGTGGCGCCGAGACGTTCTCGGACCTCGTCACTGCGAGCGAGGGCAAGGAGGATGAGCAAATTGTTCTGCTGGACGGTGACGGGAACGCCAGACAGGTCGCGGAGGAGCTCGCGCTCAAAGGTGGGGGTGGCCAAGGCAGCAAGGGCGTCATTGTCCTCGCTTGCTTTGACCAGCAGGCAACTGGCTTCGGCCCAAATGACGCGCCAGGGCTTGGAGAGGCCCGTCGTACGATGACGGGCCGCACAGGCGCGTCCGAGGTCCATACAGGCCAGGGCCAGCGAGGGGAGGCCCGAGACATTGCCCAGAAGCGTTGGGTCGCGAGCCAGGATGCGTAGTAGGGTAGCACTTTGAACCAAGTGGAGAACGAGAGGGGGTTCAAAGCTGACGACCTCGGTCGAAGTGGAGCTGGCCAGCTCAGCAAGGCGCGGGGTCATGGGGGCCAGGCGGTGCTGGGCGAGGTGTGCAAACAGGGTCACAAATTCACGGGAGGAACAAAACTGGCGTCGATCGCGAATGGACTTGGCCAAGCGCTTGAGCAACGCCGCCTCCTCCTCGATGCTGTTCTCATCGAGACCCGGACAGGGCGTGGCGAGCATTTGCGCAGACAGCTCGGCGGCCAACGCTTCAGCCATGACGAAGACTGATGAAACAACCTACAAGGCTCTTCAAGTGAAGCCCCCCCACAGCCCAAAGCCCGCAGCCGTGCAGCGACTACTCAGGGCAGGGTCTTGAGCAGCGAGTGAGTGAGTGAGTGAGGGAGTGAGAGACGAGGCGCGCTCTGGACTAGACCATCGCCATGACTCGCGACACAGACAGCAGAGAGAGAGAGAGAGAGAGAGAGAGAGAGAGAGAGAGAGAGAGAGAGAGAGAGCGAGAGAGAGAGAGAGAGCGAGAGAGATAGAGAGAGAGAGAGAGAGAGAGTTTCTGAGAGTTTGATAGAGAGAATGTGGTGAAGAGAGGAGGAAGCAATCGTGCTGGCAATCCAGAGATCACCTTGGCGACTGTTCCAATATTAGTGTTGAAGTAAAGGTCTAACCAGAGAATGAATTTCCAATGCATCTCAAATAAGAGAGTTGCACTCGATAACAAGACTGCCAAGAGATGTTAAGCGACACCATCATCGCTTGGCGACTGCTGGGTGGTTGTCGTGTTCAGTAGGGAGGAAGCGCTACTACCGCGCTGCATGTTCCTCTCTCTATTCTCTGCAGCTTCCTCGATCCGAACCGCCCATTGAATTCGAGGCTTTAAGCATGTGGACGGTGCACTTGATCACCACACAAGCCGGCTGGCACAGAGGTGCGGGCTCGCTTGCCATCATGCATCTTGCCTTGTTCTGAATGTCCGGTTTGATGAAAACGTGGGCACTCTACAGGGCCCATTGTGCCAGCTCCACTTGCAGCAGTGCAACGTTTTGCAAGGAGGAGAATCGTTTTCTTGCCTGTGCGCCAGCAGACTGTGGCCCAGCAGGTTTCATCCAGTGTCGCGCTGCTTGCACACACGCCCAGCACATTTTTCAATTCACATTTCGACCCTATAGCAAATCTTGCACATTGCCCTTCCTGCTCACGCGCATCATATAATCTTTTTGAGCAGAGCTGATGCGCTCGAGTCTCAATTGCCATGCCATCCGGAGTATTCAAACCATTGCACGACCATACGATTCATTCTTGAGTTGAGCAGGGCACCCGCACCACATGAAATTACAGCCCGAGCCTGAGCCCCGACACACTTGACATCGTTGAATAGCAGCGTGGCGTCCGCTCGAACCGAATCAAGCTGGCTCTGGGAAAAAAAACAAGTGCCAACGGGAGCGCCAGAGCGGCGCAAGCGTGATGAACTACTGAACCTGACGCCACTTTGCCATTCAGCACCCTGGCTTCATTCATAATGTCATAACAATGAAGGTCCGGCTTCGATTTTCAGCCCCTCTCCTTCCTGCTTCTGCTCTTGTTTGTTGAAAAAGCTATTACACTTCGTTTGGATTGCTTATTCGGATAAGACTTCAAGTTTATGATGGGTGGCCGGCGAGTCTTCCCCCGCCCAATTCAACCTTCCATTCTTCTTTTTGCCTTGACAACACGGCGACGATGCCATACCCCGCCGTCGTCATGTTTGATTCAATTGCTCTGGTCGACCAAGCAATAAAGTGATGCCACATGGGCCCCTCGCCCCCGCCGCAGATACCACAATACTGCATAAAGAAGATAGCCCAACAACCCCCAAACTTACGATTCCAGGCGAGGCCCAATTTGCTGCATGTCCTTCACTAGACTTGTAAATGTGCAAGACTGCATGGCTGGGCCAAATGTCCGTTATGATCCAGCTGCTGCCTCAGCAACGCCCTGAACGCCCAGTGCAGGCCCTGCACAACTCAATCGCCTCGTCCAACTTGACCGCCTCCAACGCCCTGACCAGCCGTTTACGGGCGTCGTTGTCCTCGAGCAGATCTTCGGCCACACGTGCCAAAGAATAGCCGTCGTGCGCCTTTTGTAAACGCTCGTCGGGCCTGGCATTGGCGTGGCGGTACTTTTCAAGGCCGCCTTCGTAGTTGTAACGAGGTCCATACGTTGCTTTATCACAGGGCCCACCCAGGTCGAAATCAATCAGGAAAGCCATCGGCTTCGGCCTTTGCTGCGTTTGCACAGTCTCTTCCTCTGCGACCGCTTCCACGACGAGGTCTTTCAGTGAAAGCTCGTCGTGCGAGGGCTGACGGCTTTGACATGGCGTCACATTGCCGGACTGAGCCTCGGGGCTGTGCTGGCTCTCCTCCTCCTCCTCTTTCTCCTTCTTTTCCCAGCTGGGCGGCTGAAACATCCAATCCTCCGGCTGCCAGCTGTTGCAA